CCGAGCATCTTTCGCCAAGCCATCCCACCATGGTGCCCTCAAGCGATGCACCGCGTGCTGCTTCACGTGGCTCCAGGATGCCATTGCGATGCGAAAACGGGTGCGCGCGTGCTCGAGCCGAAGCGGCTGACACGCCCCTTGGTGGGTGATGCACCCGGTCAAGGGAGATCCCACCTGGGACACCAAAGCACTTGGAGGGTTGTTGGCGGCGTGCCAAGGGCCTATCCATCTAGACCGTGATGCGTTAAGTTTGTGCAGGTTTTGAGTGCTTCAAGCTTGGGGCAGCGTGAATTCCTTGACATGTATTGCACACTCAATGAGATAAAATGACTAACACCCAATAAAATACAAAAATAAACAACAAAACAACCAGCCAAAAGTATCATCGTGGGGTGCATCATTGCAATGGGTGTGCTTCACTTGGATCTTCACCAACCAACCATAAAGCATCATAACATCACACACACAATTTGCTGCAAAGAGAGAGAGATCTCATCTAAAACAAGGTTAGTTTTGTGGGCCAGTCAACACGATGAACAAAGGCCACCTGGAAAGGACACGGGGCGGGAAGTGGCCGACCTCGGCCGTTTGCCTTCATCCTCCCATAGAGTGGGAGACATATCAGTTGTCACACTATAAAAATGTGATCATGGCCTTTTTGGCCTAGACCTTGGAGTGATCCAGACTCAACGGCAGTGCCAAATCCGGACTCAATGTGCTAGCAGGCTGATTGAATTCTAAATCATCCCCCCAAATTGGACCACTTCATTCATGTGCACAAAGCTCCACCTGAACCCGTCAGCTGCATCTAATTGCACCCCCTGAACCCGCCGAGCTTGAGTTGATTAAAGAAAAACACTTCAGTCGTCTAACCAGTGCAGAAAAGTGCCTTGACTTGCTGTGCTCGCGCCGCGCAAGGCAGGATCCGCCCAGCTGAGGGTCAGGAGTGCCAGGGCCACGCTTCGGCCTAAGAACGCTCCCAGGAACGGTCAAGGCACCGTGGAGGTCACGTGCTTTCCCCGCCATCCACGGACGTCTTCCATCCACCGTGGAAGACGCCCCATCCGAAAGGAACTCATGTGATGTGTTCGTCGGAGTGCTCCGGTTTGCACACAACAGCCACACCGTGGCTACGCATCGAACTGACATGAATGCAAACCTCCTGGTTTTGGACTCTGCGAAACCAAAGAGTTGGCCCCACCAAGTATAGGGCCTTCCAACATCTCAGTCTCTCTCAAAAGTCTGGAGATTTGGGGGGCTCAAAGGCCTTGCTTAACAGAGCCAAGCAGCTCAAGCAGGACTTTGCCATTGTCGAGCGGCAACAAAATGTGTCAGTGAGAAACGCAAAACAGTTTGCAGCCAAAGATAAAAGGCTATGAGAGGATGTTGGAGTGGTAGATGTTTGTCTTTAGACATTTAACGATGTTTGCATTTGACGGTATATTTTTTCCCTTGTATAATTGGCTAGAAATCCATGTGATGTTTTTGGAGAAGTCTTCTGCCTCAAAGTTTTGATCGTTGAACGGCCAAACCCGCCCTTGGACCCAGCGCCACGGATTTCCGAGCGATGTGGAGGTTGAGATACAATCCCAACATGGACCAATGAACATGAAAAGGGACTATGTTGGACTCTTTAAAAGGACCCTCCAATCACCTTCTTAGAGGGTATGTAGATCCCTAGGGTGTCTGTCACTGTCGGTGATGCACCACAATCCCGCCAGCCGTGCCGGAGGGCGAAATGCAGTGTACATTCACTCGTTGCTCAAATCTCCAGTGTTGGTTCCATCAATCTTGGGGCCGAAATTCAGGAGAACTCGATCTGTTGGGACATCATCTTGGATTTGCGGCTTGGTCTGGTCGGCCCAGCCTTCTCATGCCAGAAATGACAATGCCCCGTGTTTTGTGTCTCATGTGTAAATACATTGAGCATCTCTCCTTTAAGCTGCTGGATGATTCTGAGAGGCACGCCCTGTCGCTGAAACATCAACAGCATGGCCCCAAAGGAGGAAAATGATCACAGTTAGAAGAACCATATCTTGCATATTTTGAACGTTTTCATGGATGTGAATGGTATTTTTGGGACTTCCTCTGCTGAGTCCGAAGAGTGACACAGCTTCGCTCTTGTGACTCCTAAGGCTGGCTCTCCAAACGATCGAAGCAAGAGCTTGGAGGTCAAAGCAGCATGCCAACAGGAAATGCATGGAGCGTGCCTCCATGCCAGCCGTCATTGAACCAAACGTGCTGACGCAGCGTCAGCAGCACCCAGTTTGGATGATGGTATGTATTTTTTCCCCATGTTTTGTGATCAGGGGTGTTCTATTCACCACCCCAACCTGAATAGGGGTGGGGTGGTTTACATGTTTGATCCTAAGAACTCCCCAGGCAAACCCCTCAGCCAAGGGCGGGTCCATGTAGAACTTCCACTTTCTCGACGCTCTTTCTTTTCTTTTCTGATGTGCTATTGTCTTCGGTTGGATGGCTTGATGTAGATGAATATAGATGAATAACACCTCCCAAGTCTGAAGAGGCTTTACAGTACAAGCCAACTGTGGAGGTTGCTCTTAATCAAGAGTCTAATTATATACATTGAACATCATTGAACTACCTTCTGAGGATGTGCTGGAATCCCTAGGCACGAACGATGGTCCTCCAACTCCCGCAGCATTCCGCCACCAGAAACCGCGGGAGACGTCAGATAGACGAAGCCTCCCGCTCGCGTTGGGCTTCGAGCACCACGTCAGCATCCTCCTGCTGTTTTTCCTCAGGAGCACCGAGGCGACATGTGAACGGGGAGCCGCCCTCCTCCTACTTATATTAAGTAGGCGTCTACTTGACACTCCAACCTACTAGCGATTGCCTCCAACCTACTAGCCCTCCTCCTACTTCATGAAGTACCCCGCTACCCCCAGAAAATGTCCAGAATCGAAGCCTTCGTGGAACAAAGCCACAGTCCAAGAACTACTATACCTAAGTCTGACAGTCCCACCTTTGTAGGGATCCAGTCTCCATTTTTGAGACGATTTGGACTTCCAATGGCTTGCCCTAGCTTGGGTGCCAAAGACCCTCAGAATGTTCGGGGAGGACGCCCGGAGAGTCTCAGAGCAGTCCTAAACACACACTTTCACCTCCAAAAGTGGTTCCAAAAGGGACGGCGTCAACATCTGAACATCTCTGAACAATAGAACTTCCTAATAGGAGGCAAGGTTGTGAAGAGTCCAAGTTTGCCTAAACTCACCAAGAGTCAAATCTGTATAGATGTTGCAATTGCCCTGTTGGTCGGCCAAAGCTTTTCACTTCCGCCATGAACCAGTCTGCTAGGGGATCCCTTATGGTTGGTGTCACCATCCTCCTGTCTGTTGTGCAATCTCTCCACATCGTGCCCCACATCGGGTTGCTCCACATCTGCTCTTTCATGCGCAGATCACCTTGTTTCCAAGGACCGATTCTCCAACCAACCGAGACACAAGCGATTCTGACTAGACACGTTGCGGGTTGGACTCCAACGCCCCATGCGGATGGCCCCCCCATGGGGCATGCCGGTCTTCCAACGCCTTCGCCACGCACCGGCCGCCACCCGGCCGCCCCACCCGGTCGCACCGCTGCGTTTTTCACCTGCTTCACCGGACCGGGGGCGACGCAGACGGGATCTTCCGCCGTGGAACCGCCGGTCGGGGTCGGGTTGGAATCGACCCGGTGCTTACAGCAAATATGCCCGGCATGGCTGCATACCTGGATCTTCAAACGGCACAAATTTTTGCCGGAGGCATTTTTTAGTGAAAAGACGCCGTAATCAAAAAAAAATGCCGTTTTATGGGTTGTACAAAATCCATGGACGGGGAAAGACGCCGTTTGGACGCCCAAAGACGCCGTTTGGACGCTTAAAGACGCCGTTTCTTTTTGTTTTCTGCCGGCGTGCGCCTCGTCACAACAAAAAACGCCGTCTTTGGAAAAAGACGCCGTAACGGCATTTTTTCCTGAAAAGGCAATTAGTTGTGCCGTTTCGAAGATCCAGGTATATCCCGTGACCATGTTTTATAAAATGCGATAAACAACATTAAACAACCAACCCATCATTTTTTGGAGGGGTGCAACTGACTAGTTGAGGGGCCTAGGGCTGGTGCGGTCTAAAGCCCCTTTGAGGTGCCAACATCCCCAGTCCTAAGCCGATTTCGGCCGTGGAAAACGGGGCGTGGGGTCATTTCTATACAGTGACCTATGGCATGCGTTTCATGGGGAGAGTGACCTACAGTATGGCATGCGTTTCATGCGTGAAACGCTGGCATCGGTGCCTGATGCCTTGGAGAAAAACACTTTGCCACCAAATCTTGAGCGAAATCATGTGTTCATCACCTTCATACAGTGAAATCACTGCGGTACAACCAACTGCTGAGGTATAATTTGTGCTGGATCCTCGCCACGAACTACCCATGCCATTTGGACAAACATTGACGATATCTCTCCTCAAGTGTTGAATACCACCTCGATTGGAAAACTATGGAACAATAACATGGGGACTTCCTTGATTCATGGCAAGCATGAATGGCGGTCCCAACCTGCCCAAGTTTGAATTGTGTTCCACACATCCACGAAAACGAAGCTTCACAAAAGCAGCGAGAAAAGCAGCAGAATCCTCCCAGCATACCTCTTGAGAAGATGTTGTGACTCTATTCGAGGTCTTTGCGAAGGTGACCTCTCTTGGTATGTGGATCAACCTTCTCCAAGAGGCATGTGGATCTCAGCATTGGCAAACAAGCTTTGCAAACCAACTGCTGCTTCGTGAATGAACTCCGGTGTTCAACTCCAGTGGATCTCCTCAGGGAAACAGTAAAACCAGACTCGTTGTCGACGCGCGCTCGAAGGGACTCGAGGCGTGTAACATGCACTTGACCCTCCAAATAACATGAATTGAGTGGACCATCATTCGCCGAATGAGCCCCTTTGCAAGACCACATGTTCCAAACAATCAGCTTGCTTCCCACGTCCGTCTTTGTCTTGGGGAGGCCGATGACTGTTTACCGATCAATCCCACCTGATCTGAGTCCACTGGGAAACGCGAGACGTCACGGCACCGCACCGAATCATCGGCACAGCATCGTGGCCGTCGTGGCCGGCCGTGGCTGAGCTGCTCTTGGAGCGCGAGCTGGGCGAGACCCGACGGGTTCATCGTGGTGAAACACATCTTAAGACGGTCGACCGGTCACAGCCATGGTGGCGGCCTGGGCGGCTCGTCTCCACGAGGGAAATCCTTTCGATGAGGCTTACCGATCAGCAATTGGATCACTGCCCTGTAGGACATAACTGTTTCATAACTCAAAATCTGTTTCATCATCTGTGCCATAACTGCCCTGTTTCATAATCTGCTTCATAGCGGCATTTGCTGTTGCCACTGACAGTGCACGAGGATGGTTGCTATATACAATACAAGTCAAGTGGTAGATAGTGGTAGATTGTTTGCATGTTTTCGCTGACCACTGTAATCAATACACCCAGTGCCTGCGAACACAGGAATTCACACCCATGGCCCATGGCGGCCACAAAAGACGTAGGTCGAGAAATTACACAACCATGTGCAAAACCATATCGCAGGTGGCTCTGTCAAGCCACTCGTTTCTGGCTTGGATGAAGAACACATGTTCTGACATTCAAACGTTCCTTCCGGTCTCTCACTCCTTTTGGAGATCTTCCAAGTACAAGCCCGAGAACGATTGTTTGCTCGAAGTTGCGGGGAGCCACCAGGCCACCACACCGAAGCAAAGTGAACACAACATGCTCTGTGCTCCTTTCAGGGGCGTAGGGTCAACCCCTACCCCTAGTCCAAGCATCCAAAGCGTCCAGGGTGCTGTGATGACAGTGATGACTTGCGTAGATCCCCAAAATAGATCACAGATTCCAAGACACGGGGATCTACGAACTTCTATCTATTTGGGGACCACTATGCATTAGGGTTCGAGGTCTAGGGCTAGGAAAAGCCAAACCAGCTCAATCAGAAAACCGTGCAGAGGCACGATCCCCTATAGTGCCTTTCGCACGAATGGACCAAGGTCCGAAAACCAGCTTGCAATCCATCTCTCCAACATCCGGTCGCTCCTCCCCTCGACCGGGTGACCCTGCCACAGTCACTTCAGACGTCACTTCAGTCGAGCTAGGCGAACCAACCGTGGAGCGGAGCATGCGGAGCTAGGCTTCTGAGGGGTAATGGAGGCCTGAGTCTGACGAGATCGGAGCTTGGTCGGTGGGTGAAACCAGGGGTCTTCAAGCATGAAAAGTGAGTTTAACATGGTTTAACCACCGTTCATCCATTGAATCATGCAGGGTTAACCAGAGTTCCTGTTCTTTTCTTAATTCATGTCTTGAAATTGGGCGGGGCACCAGGATCTAGCTCCCAAACTAAGCTTGAAACTTGGATCTAGCGTCTCCCGAAACCCCTTCACGCCCGACAAAAAGGGGCCCACACCGCATGCAGGGTCTGAAACAAATCATGCGCCGAAAAAAGGAGCGTTTCTTCGGAGCGGGTCCCTCTATATATTGCAAAACAGTCGTGGCTGCACCGATCATAATGCGAAAGAAACCGTGTCCCCCTCCCTCCATTTGCTACGAGTGCCAATGTCTGTGCCCGCAATTGATCAATCATGTTCCTCCACAAACTCATTGTTCGGATGTTTCCTTCAAGGGTATACTATTCAGTAGAGCTTAGCACAACAAAAGAATACAAAAGACGCAATTGACTCATGGCAACAAGTCTTCGAACAAGGTGAAGGGAAACTGACCCGCCGCCAATAAATCACTCATTTTTGGCTGCATGTGGTGAACCCGTGATGATTAACATGTTGGGTGAATCACTCTGTTCTTTCAACATCCAAAATTCCCTGATAGCCTTGGCGTCCCAAAGGAGAAGAGACATCATGAACCCTCTGCATCTCATGAAATGCCGTAAGAACTTCTCAGAATGTGTACGAACTGAATGAAGTGGGCGTCACTATGCATCACTCGAGACAAGTACGTTCATGAAGCGAAAGTCCTCGAGCTTTGTGACCAACTCCTCAAGTCCAACAAAAATGCCTAAAAGGTTATATAACCTGCCTTTAAATGATACCAGCTGGTGATATCTGGTCACTGCCTTTCAGGTTAAATCATTTGAAGCTACCAGCTGCTTTTAAAGTGCCCTTTTGAGGGTTAGACGTTACCCTTTGAAGCCACTTGGAAGAACCAGGGTGGACAGTGTCCGCTTCATTTGGACAGGGTGGAACATGTAAACAGGGTAGCTCACAAGGTCCACCTGCTTGAAGAAGAAACTACCCTGTAAAGGGAGGCCACTTGCAAACAGGGTAGGCTTCATTTGGACTGTCACCTTCGGAAACCTCGACCCAAAACGCGACCGTCCTTCGGTCGGTTCCCACGCCTGGGCCAATATCGAAGGCGTCCTCCCGGTCGGTGGCGTTTCGTTTAAGGAGTCGTGGCGTTTCGTTTTGGCCCGGGTTGAGGAGTATTGTAGGAACAAGCATAGTATTTGGAGTATTCACATAGGAGTATTTAATGTATGATTGGACTAAGGTGTACATACTGGCCAGGAACGGGACCATACTGGCCAGGAACGGGACCTTGTCCTATGCCCTATGCCCTATGACACCTGTTATAACATCCAGAAAAAAAAACGAAGGCGGTTCAAGTGTCTAAGCTGAGGATGAGATCGATTCTATCCGGTTTGGGCAAGCATTCTCTTGAAGGTGTAGGGTCATGCTGCTGCCAGTAAGAGTGGATGATGATGTGGATGATGATGATGATGATGATGATGATGATGATGATGATGATGATGATGATGATGATGATGATGATGATGATGATGATGATGATG